CTCACGCACTACTACAAAACCAGTGCAACAGTCGTGGGTCATGTGCAGAGAAGATCAGAGCAGAATAGTATTTTGTCTTTAGACAACTGCATTTTGTCTCCTGATTCTGACTTTTGGGTCAGTTAGACCTACTGCGGAATCACCGAAGAGTTTAATTTGCTGAACACCTGCAGTCAAACAGGACATTTATTTCCTTATGAGTCATTTTATCATATTTCTGAAGAAACAATAAAGAAGCCAAATGTCTACAACAACCTGACCTAAAAACAGAAAGCTTGGCAGTGGATTATAAAGGATCTAGGTAACAAATTCAAACTAAATCCTTTAAAGTCTTATTAATTCCTTGAAAAAAAAATTTATTTCATTTATGACTTGTTCCTTTCAAAAAGGTCCCAGAACACATGAAAGGTGACAAAATTCCTCGACATGAAAAGGAGGGCACACTGCAGCAGACTGGTGCTAGAACTGATATTTTGAAAATGCAGCCTGCTAAACTTTTGATATCGCTCAGATGGATTTTTTTGTTTGTTTGTCTTGTTTTGCCTTTTTTTTTTTTTTTTTTTTTTTTTTTTTTTTTTTACGGCCATCATGCTGACCATTAGCTCCACTGCAAGTGATCTATGTGGTATGGGACATTTTTTGTCCCTACCATTTTTCAGTCCTCCACAAACAAAATTTTGGGAAGAGATTTATATAGGATGCTTAGGGTCACATGCCACATTGCATTGTGCTATGAAGACATGAACTCTATCACCAGGCATTGAGTCACAGGGCTTGTATGTGATAAGAAAGAGGCACAACCACAAGAGTGACAGGGAAGGGAAATAGCTGCAAAAGTTTCTATTAAAAATGACTATATTTCCGACTCCTCAAAAATTCCCACGCCTCAAACCTATATACGTTCTCTTAAGTAAAATATCACTTTTGTAGCTTCAAAACATGAAAGAACTTACTCCCAAAGGATATATTTACAGACTTCTTATATATTGCTCCTTTCACTTAGGCATTTTAAATTTAAAAAAAAACCAACAACAACAACTTTTAAACTTTAATATGAAATGCCACCTTTGTACCTGAGAACACAAAATGGAGCAAATTTACTTTTATCTTCATGAAGATCTTTCAAGAAAAATTAAAGTCAAAATACACAACACATTATGAATCACCAAACAACGAAGCTGACAGATCAGTTTGTGTTGTGTAATTTAGTGTTTTATGTCAACTGTTCTCAGTGAAAATATTTTACAACAGTGGCAATTATCTCTGCATCATACAAAATACTCCAGCAGGACCAAAACAACTTCTGCAGTGATGAATCAGAGCATAATAAAAGCCCTCTTATTTCTTGGCTGGCCTTAAAACAGAAATCTTTTCAAATACATAGCTTTTAGCCAGGTGCATAAGTGCAGATGAATAAGAAAATGGGCAAAGGCTACTAAAGAACTGCAATGCTACCGGAGTTTGTTAAATCATGTATATGAGAAGTATTAACCTGCACGCTATCATCTCCAAGTGCTTTGTTTCCTCTCTTATTTCTCCCCTGTATGGAGTTGTAAGGTATGTAGCACTAACTGTTCACAGTGATATGGGTGACTACATCAATATGCACTGGGTCTCTGAAGCAGCAGGACAGGAAATGTGATGGAAGCTGGAACAGGCAGTAAGCTAAACCAGGAAGCAGGGAAAACAAAGTATGTGTTTAAATGATTAGGGCATAAAGTTAGCCAGAAAGATAAAAGATCACAGCCGAAAGCATAGTGTCTGCAGAAATGGTATGAGACGTCAAAAGTTTGAAGTGATGAACCTAATTCCTGAAATGCAGCAGAAAAGAACTGGGAAAGTAAAAATTTAAAAATAAGAAGTGAACATAAATAATGCCAGTTTTGCTGAACTGACACTTTTAATGTACTTAGGAGAGCCTCAATTGTCTGAACCGAGTACCATGTTCTTTTTGTTTCACTTAGCTGCTTAAACCCCTTAAAATTTAACAATTTTTTTAGTATTTCTACAGTGAAATAATTCTTATTTCAAAAAAGAAAAGGTAGCAACATATTTTAAACCTGAACGTCAATTCAGTGTGATTTTTACTTCAGTTTTTCACTCGATTTCCCCTTCCCTCCCAAAACGTCACCCTGATTTAGTAGTGAAGTTGCAGAGAGTTAGTGTGCCTTAGAACTAGTGTCAGACTGGTAAAACTATTCAATGACATGCTTGATTGACTTAAAATGGATTTAATTTAAAAAGCAGACAGTCACATATCTCCTCTTTAAAAATGCTAAACTGAACCATTTTTAAATACTAACAAAATAACTAAAATACTGAGAACTAATACGTGTGTGTGCGTGTGTCTATATAAACACATATAGATATATAAATATAACAAAATATATATTTTGTATAATCCACTACAGCCAGGCAGTATTTAAAACCAAGTATGAAATCTCTCACACCCAGCAGCTTGAAAGCAAGCTTGATAATCTTCACTGAGTGTGCCAGAAAGCACTCTTCCCCCCATCCCTCAAAAAAAAAAATCAGTGGGTAGCAAACTGCTTATAGTAACATTCACATTATTGTTTTCTTTCTTCTGACATATTATAAGTGAAAATATTGGGGCCTATATAAAAAAAAAAAAGGATAAAAGTAACCCAGCATTAGCTCTGTTCCAGAAGTAACTAATCTTCCATAACATCAGACATAAGCACAATCTTAATAGGGCAGCCCCACTGGAAGTACCTATATATGTTTATTCATCTCCTCCTGAGGTTACAGTTCTTCTCTACTTATGCTTCCTCTTTGCCTGCACTAGCGAGATCGTCCAGCAGCACTGTCGCTGGCAGCAACTAGTGGCTATGCCACAGCAGACCATAAAATCAAGGGTACGCGTATGCCAATGGCTGCAGACAGACAGAAGACGCACGCACCTGGGAGCCGGTTGGTCAAGCCCCAGCCAGCTCCTGGTTGGAAGCTCTGAGCTGAGGCACAGCACTGTGCCACCATGGACACACAAGCTCACGTCCAGCCAGCTCAGATCATGAGCAGCTCGTGTCTGCTGACAGCAATCTCCATGGACGCGCACGTTAACTTTCAGGCAACTCCATATTTGAATTTCAAATGTAAAAACTTAGTCAGAAAGTATCCCTCCTGAAACAGAGAACAGGAATGTTGCTCATTTTTCATGGTACCTGTCACGTTAATTTATTTCAAAAATAAAGCCAGATAGATTTTTGGCATATGGGAATGAGTCATTGCTGGAGAGACTGTAGAAAAATAAAAAAATGCCAGATTCTTATGTGCTGTACGGAGGATGCGGGTGCTAAGAAAGACGATGAGCTGTACTTCTCAAACTATATTAAGCCACTAATTTTTATATTTCCTTGACAAGATCCTTCAGCATTTTTATGGGCCTGTTGCTTCATCGCGCATACACTGCTTTCAAATATCCAGACTCCAGGACTGAAGCATACAGCACTCTTCTGTGTGAAGGTAAGGTGCACTCAAAAAATAAGGTCTCCTTTGGTGCACTCATGCTATTGACAGCACCAATGATATCACAGATAAAGTATGTACTACCCAGAGTCACCGGTGCTACAAACTTCAAGCGTATAAAACAGTATTTTGGTTGTTTAGAAATATTCACCTCTCACAGCAGCTACTCTTTTTGCGCTAGCTATTCTAGACACCTGACTTGCAATCACCAGCAATTTCCGCAGGGTTCAAGTGCTCTCACAAAGAATATATGGCACTTAATACTGAAGAGACTGTTTCGAAGGCATAATTTTATTCTCCCACTCCATTCCAGTATGAAGCCAACAAACAACAAGTTGTAATGTACTTACGTTTGAGCCTGGCCTGCACAAAACAGACTGAGCTAACCCCACGTTTGCTGAAAAAGTATACGGCATAAAGGAAAGCACTTCTTTCAAGAACGAAAGAATTATTCCTATTGATATTAAATATTACTGGCAAGTAAAGTTTGTAAAGAACAAGGGCTATAAGGCAGCTTTATTTACGATACTGTTTATTTTCCTGGAATGAAATCAATAAAACGTGTAAACGTTGTTTTTCACACTGGACTTCCTCATTTTACCTTACAGATTTTTATTACTATGACAAAGTTGATGAGGTAACTCATGATGCCGAGAAGAAAAATCATCGCAACAAGATTCTTAAATAGGAGATAGCTCGTATGAAGCTATGAATTAGCTATTCTGCTCTAATCGATTCTGGTAAAGTCTCTGCAAGAATACTGGATCCAGACTTGCACGCTGAAGACAACACAACTTCAAGAACGGTATCAGCTAATTAGAGAGAACTGTAAGTGCAACAAGTGTGATCAGAGGTCTGCAAAACGTGAACTATAAGCAGTGATCCAAGACTCTGAATTTGTTTATTTTGAAGAAAAGTACATTTAGAGAGAGCTACAATTGAAAATGTTCTAAAGGTTGGTGGAGAAAGGGAGTAATTTATTCTCCAGACCCCTGTGGGGGATGGGACAAGTAGTAATGGGCTTAAACTGCCATTTGCAAGAAATCTGGCCAAGAAAAACATTTGAAATTAAAGTTTAGCAGTGTAAAACAATGGCTGGGGGAACTTTTGAAGTCTTCAACAAAAGATTCAGCAAACATCTCTCAAAAAGGACAAACACAGCTGATACTGCTTTTCAGCAGAGGTATGGGCTAGATGAGGTCCTTTTAACCCCTAGAAATTCAACGCTGTGGAAAAAAGGCATTAAGTCATTTTTTTTCTTCTTCAAAAGCCTAACAAAAACTCTTACACTACATGAACTATTTGTTTAGAGCTAAATTTAATTTTAGTCACTTAAACCAGAAAAAGTCAGTAATTACCACAAATTAGAAATCAATGAAAACTAGATTGACAGTTTAAGATGTAATGATTCATGAAATAAGCAAGAAAAATTGAACAGCTAATCTAATAATCTCAGTGTCATTTTCCATATCTTCATTACAGAATATACAAAACAGGAAGCAAAGCAAAAGGGAAGAAACATTTTTAATTTATGAATATATTTTATATCCTTTCCACAGTAGTGCATGTGATCACCTACTGAAAATTACATCTGGCAGAAAGACAACCAACTGCAGCTCAGTAGAAAACAGGATTAGTTTTATTAGTAGGCTGCTAAAAAGAGAATTTCCATTTATTCTTCTGTTTCAAAAAAGAGACTAAGAGTAATCTCATCTGCAACGTTGATCACAGTAGTCGCACGTGAAATTATGCTGAAAAGACGCAACGCTCTAGAAAATCCTGAGGTATGGACAAAACAATATTTCTGCCTTCAGAGAACACCTTTCAGTACCTTCCATCAAGTAGGATTTACTGGCTTATGTGGGTCTTGGAACATCACTAATTTGATTAGGTACGGAAAAAATCAAAGTCAGTAAGTTAGATTTGTTTTCTTTTGATATAGATATATGTTAGAACAACATGTGAGGCTTGCTGATTTACAGTTACTGACAAAAAAGAAATGTGTCTGGAAAACTGCGTTCAATAAGAAGGCTATACAAACTAATTTCTACTGACCTCCGTCTTCCATTTCTAATGAAAGGATCCTTATAGATTACAGAGCAACAACACCTGCAACTACCAGCAAGTTTAGTTTTCAGACCCACCCCTGAAGATGACTCATTCCCAGCATTTTATGGGAAGGGACAGAAACAATTACACTGTTGCAGCTATGCAGTATCCATTATAATAGACATATCTCCACAGTCGTCATATGTATTTCAGTACGGCTACACGCACTGACAGCTAGGCAAACATATATGTAGTATTCCAGATAAAAAAAACTACACCTACTCATCTTTCAGCTCATCTATTAAAATTAGGGAACAAAAATTGAGTGGGGGGCAGAATAAAGAAGAGAGGGAAAGAAAACAATTACAATGACTCAACAAGATAATGTAATACAACGATATTAAAAATGCTTGAAAATACCATAACGTCTCTGGTTCACTGTCTTTCAAATTTGACAGGGAGAAAGATGATACGCCACAAAGAAAGCTCCTTCATTCCTAAGACTGAAGGACAACAGAGAACTACATTTTTACTTTCAAATTCAAGCGAATGTACTCACTTCAGTATTTTGTATGCTCACATGTGTTGTTCAAGAATAGCTCTTTAACAAAGCAGTTGAGAGATCAGATGAGTGTCATACTTACTGGTAATGTACCCATGATGGACCAAGAGTTTTCTTAAACTGAGTGAGTCCCACAATATCAATGTAAATGAGTTCGACAACTTTATCCCCCTGGGTAGGGCAGCCAGATCTGTTACCTACAACCTTTTTCATAATTCTAAACAAAAAAAAAAAAAAAAAGAAGAAGAAATAAGTATTACTTTCCAAATACCTTGAATTCATGCTATAATACTGTTTATAGTGATAATTCACCTTTCCAAAAAAGTCTCATTCTATATTTTTTTTAAATCAGGATCCCTGTAAGAACTTTCAAATGCTAAAGACCCTCAGCATTTATTAAAGAACTGTTTATGCATAAATAAGATGATAAATTTCACTGAAAAACTCACTTAGTCTGAACAAGACCATAATACAGTTGGATCGATTAAAAAGAAAGTATTTTGGAGTGATCTAAAATAACTTCTGGCTTCTATTGACAGCTTCATGATGTAAGAGCGCTCTATAAGATAGTGTTGTCTTATTTTCTATAAAAATGAGAGCGACAGAAAAAATGTGTATGTGCTCAAGATTAAAATAGATGTATTACACATAATGCAGAACTAACAAGCAAAGCAAGATAAAGATGACTGAAGTGGTAATTTGACCAAACAAACAATTAACTGTGTCAAAAGTAATGTTTTTAAAAAGATTTGAATTTTTAATTTAAAACTAGATGAATGAAGAGTAGCAAAAACTGAAGAGGAGGACACAGAATTAGGCCAGCCTCTAACACTTCTTGCTGCTGCTTAAACACCTGGTAAGTTGCTTAGTTTGAATTTTCCAGCATTCATTTTACAAAGTCTCAGGAGTCTGAATCTACAGTGAAAACACATTATCCTTTTCATATAAATATATTTAGCTCATGAAAATAATCTCATTGTCTTTTTAGTGAACTATCACTTTCATTTTATGCTTTAAGAAATTATATCCTGTGCTAATAGAGGCTTCAAGAGTTTACAATTTCTTCTGTATTGCAGTTTCAAAATTGAAAGTAATCTCCTTACTCCTTGAGCTCTGCCAGTGAAGCTGAAATCCTGATGTCATGTCCCAGTAAGTAGAGAGATGTAATTAAATCACTCCACTGGACTAGTTCACCAAGTGGGCCACCACTAAATGCATTCTCTGCGATCTTGAATCCAGATTCTTTTGTCAAAAGTCCCAAATGAACAAGAATCTGGAAAATAAAGTTGTACATGAATGAGAGTTATTGACATTAAACATGCAACTAGTATACCTCTCAGCATATTCTCTTAAACTTCAACTGTGGCCAAGCTCCATCCCACAACCTGCATCCCAAGCCCCCTTAATATGAGACCTTGCAATTTAATTGTGTGACAGATTCCTAGAACAGTCATTATAAGAACGTTTTCACGTTGTTTTGGACTATTATATGCCACTTGATCAGTAAGTACACAAAACAACACAACAAAAAGGTAGTTATTCACTAAACGAATTGTTATGCTGCACAAAAAGTCATGGTTCATGTTAACTTATTCTGGTATAATAACCAGTTATATTCTCATGTAAGATATACTTGCTAATGCAACAAGACACAGCAGCTAAAGAAGGTTATGCTGTTGTGAACAAGTCATTATGAACTCAGAAAGACCGAGAAAGAGTAACGGGGCTTTCTCAACCTCTTCTCTTCATTGCCAGTGGAGGAGAGCTTTCTCTGAGGTTCCTTGAAGTCTGTGCTTGCCTGTGCAACACAGCACAGAAGCTGAGTTCCAAACACTTCACTACATACCTGGACTGTTAGGTTTTAGAGTCGACACACACAGTGCCAAGCACCAAAAAAAAAAACCCACCACCTAAACCTTTTTCTTTCACTCTAAAGAAGTAACATCCAAAAAACATTTTATTCTACCTTGTGTAGCTCCCAGGATAGAACTGGCCACATGAAAATGAAATTACACTTTACAGAGCAATCTTAAATGACTTTTAACAAAAAAAAAAAAGAAAAAACAGTATTTATTAGAGTATGTAGAGTGTATCAAAACTGCCTGCACAGGACAGTACTGCTGCTGTTCATTCTTGAGTTCATTCATTCTCAGATATTATATTCCTTTAATAAGAAAGGGCTGGATGGCTGCTTGAAAGAGGAGGGTTGTTCCTTGAGAGTGGCTGAGCCTGCTCAGGGACAGAAAGCATAGTGCGTGATGAATATGACAGCCACAACATAAAGCACAGACCTCATGCAGGAACCAAGAATCTCGAGCAAGGAGCCAAGCAGCAATCAGCCAGGCTTAAGAAAAGGCAGAAACACAACTGTGCTCAGAGATAGCTCCAGTTAAGCACAAGGCACGGGAAACAGTTGTGTTTACAACTTTTACTTTTGTTTTTGTTCTATCTTACCCACTTGAGGTTACTTAAAAAAAAGAGAAGGATTTTAAAAATTCAAATAAAACTGGACTTCTGAGTTCAAGAGTCTTATGGTCTTTAAATTGGACTCATTACAGGAAAACGTCTACAAACAGGTGCAACCCAAAGTTGCGGCCAACTTTTAAGTCTATTCAAAACAAAAACAGAAAGACACTAACACATCAATTTTAAACAAAGGAGATGTACAATTGTTATCTTCTACATAAAATACTCCAGTTTCATCAGCTTGCAGTAAATTCTGAGATAAGTTTTACCCTTCAGAAACTTTTGTATAGTCTCCCTTTCATCCAAAAACATGGAGGTTAGGAAACTTATTCAAAGACTGACTCTCTGAAAATATATAAAATTATTTGTGAAGCAAGAGCCCATTGTAAAAATGATTTTAAATAGTAAAATACTTCTTGAAAAGAGGCATAAGTACAAACATGAGCCTTTTAGACATATTTGGAATTTGCACTCCAAAGTCACTTTTGGAAAAAGAGACTTAATGGAGCCTGAATGATTGCATATGCTAAGAGTGAAAAAATGTTTTAACTTACCTTTTTTCGCTTTCTCTTCTCTAAATTTTGTTTTTCTGCAAGTGATTTAATTGATTCAATCCAGGCATCAGCCATCCGTCTGATGCGTAACATCATCCACCTGAATTCCTCATGCCTTGACATCATTTTGTAGAGATAATCAAAGTTGATACGAATTTCAGCCTCCAATAAAGCATTCAAAAAGAAAAACACTGAAATTATTCTTTAAATAGTGCACTTTCTGGAAGCGACAAAGCTTCCCAAATGTATACTTGCGCTTCACATTCCTCAGTTTAAAAAAATGAGGGAAAAAAGGATACTTTCCTTAAGCTAAAGTTGAGATTTTAGTCCAATTATTTAAGAAATCCTTGGCTAGAACTTTCTAAGCCACAGAAATTACAGTTATTTTTATCATTAGCATTTAGCAGCCACAGAATACATTTACATTGTTCCATAAGAGATTTATTTCTACAATATAAGATTTGGTTTTGGCCATGTTTTTGCAAAATTAGGTTAAATATCTCTGAAACACAACATAAATTCAGAAAAATACACCATAGACATCGTATATATCACAAATCTTCCAAATACAAGAAAGTCTGCTATAACAACACTAAGAAAAAATGGGTTCTACAAAACGAGACAGTCTGTATCTAAATTAGATAAGCCATGTTCAAATATATGTTTTAATGCTGTTTACCATTGTTTTTTGATCAGTTTCTTCATCAGGATTTTTTGCTCTCCAAGGTAAACGAGGACACCAATTTTCAACCTGTAAAACAATAAAAGAAAAATCATGCATTCGTTTCTACTTTCAATTGATCTATCAAACTCTCTTACTGCCTCCATGTTTCACCTTTTTATGTCTTGAATAAGGCATCAGATTAGTAAGTCACTGCAAGCAGAAGATAAAAATCACTTTTTGCTGTCTTCTAAGAAAAGCATAAGAAACTTTTTGCAATCCAATACTATTCTAACCTTACAATTTGCAACCAAAAGCAGCATTTAGATATTCATTCATGATAATAAATACAGGAGATAAATGCCTTTCAAGCCATTGGTCAGCTGTTAAATGCTATAAATATGGTTTCCAAAATGGTCGTCTTTTCAAAAAGCTGTGCGCTTTTTATGCTTCCAGTTATTAAAAAACATGTATGTAGTTTGCAACATTTCCTAGCTCCCTTTGTAAGGTACCTTTATAAAAAGGCAAAGACTAATGAAAACTAAGGGTCAGAGACCTTGTAGAATTGATTTCTCTTTTTAGTGATCTAGACAAAAAGCTGAAAGAAAGAAGGCAAAAAAAAAAAAATCAGAACATCCTGTTTGGAAGGTTCTTATAAAAAATAGTATCCACAAGTACCAATAACAATAATTGTTAGAGAAACATAATTGGTGCTACTGCAATACTTCTAATATTGCCTACTACCCCCACCCCCCCAAAAAAAACCCCCACCAAACCTGCAATAACTAGTTAGGGTAGAAATAGGATGTGATGCAAGCCCCAGAAAGTTCCTGCACTCTCCCTTTCTCTCCCTAGGAATCTCGTTGCTCCTATACAATCTTAATTACCCATCCGCCTCAAGGAATTGGCCCATTCAATTTGGGAAAGGAGGAATCTCACTGTTAGAAGCAAACGCGTGCAAGCACAACACAAACACAATCGTACAGTGGAAAGAGAGAAAAGCAAAAATTTATAGGTCAGCTAAGACATCCCACTGCGACTAATTAAGTTCACAACTTTCAGAGAATCAGAACTCAGAATTGCTGTTACGGTCCTTCCAGTCATAGACATGTCAAAACACAATTTTAGTCTAATCACACTACAAAAAGCCTAAAGCACTAGACATTAAAAGCTTAAGATAAGTATCATACCAAATGACTGCCTAGAAAATCAATCCCATGAAAAAGAAAAATTAAGTGGAAAACCTAACTTCATTAAAGAGAAGCATCAAGCTTAGTTAGGTTCTTCAGACAAATTATATACAAAACATCGATTTGAATGCAAGGACTTAAGCTGTCCAGCATATTTAATACAACATTTGAAAGTAGTGACCTGATCAATCCCATTTGAAATGAGGCTCTTTACTGGTGTCCAATTCTGAAAAGACACTAGAAATTGTAGCAATTAATAGGCATAACTTTAACTAGTATGAGTCGTGGAATTAGTAGTAGAAAAGAGTTGCAAGCTCCATGCTACAAATCACGCACGGTCCCCAATCTCAATTTTTTCATTTTTTTTTGTTTTTAGTAGTATGAATAACGATGAGTCTATAGGAAAGTATTCTGATTGTTAAAACTGATCTGTATTAAGACATGACATTTCAAGCACCACTGTACATCCCCCTTTTCTGGCTTCACATATTTCATATTGCACAATCATGAATCCTAAAGGAATAGGATATTTTTCAGAGCTACCAAGGACAGCTAGCAGCATGTCTCACTGGCAGAAAAATAAATAAAGTCTTTTTGTGCTTTTAGAAATACTCCCTACGGTACAAATTACAGTAATTCTACCCACAAACAAAAACTTCAGGAGTGACTTGAAAGTAAAAAGGCAGTACACGGTTGTCTAGAATTCACTTTTCCTTACTGATATTTTAGTCAATTCCTCTTCTCACTTGCAAACCAGTGTTACTCACCAGAGGATTTTTAAATATATGTTCTCCAAGCTACGCCAGTTGTTTCATAATTTTCAAGATTGATACAAGCAGGAGGAAGAACGCATAGAGCATTCTCTTACGGAAGAAGAAAAGAATTCTGTTCATCTTTATGAGCCAATGGCTCCCAACCTGAGTATAGTTAAATGTGGGGATAAATAATCAACAAGAACACCTGGAAAACAAAGATGAAGAATACAGGTCTGGCATACAGCGGGCAAGGGGAAAGATGACAAAAATCCTATTAAGTTAGCGACTCAAGGGAAAACGGGGATGGAGAAGCAGAATACTGACTGACAAACTAGCCAGGGGGCTAAGGATCATTTTAGTAGTGAACTTCAGGTGTTCTTGAACCATAAAGATCAAGGGTATACATGCCTCCAAAAAGGAAATGCTACAACGTCAAAACCACCTGAAAAAGCTAATAAAAATTCTATTGTTCAAAACATGAGTTAATTTTGCAGATAATCAAAGAACCAACAGGAATTAACAAGTCACAGCTCAAATACAAACTGAGAGGAAAATTGGAATACAGTTAGAGTGACAACAGAGATCAGAAAACTCAAACGCTCCAGATTAAAGCTCATTCAGCAGAAGTCACTTTTAGAATAAAGCAGATATCATCAGCTAGATGCGAGAAAGTACAGCAGAGAAGTCTACAGAAGCTTAATGTCTGTATCTAGAGGTATCTAGTACATAAGAAATATCACACTTCCAACAAAGACAAGCTTCTTGCACAGAACAGAGATACGTCTCTCTATTTCAGGTTCTTGCTTCCCAGTTTAGTCAGCGCTACAGCTGGTCAAAGATTTGGCAGAAGGGAGAGGCGACTTCAAGCTACCCAATTACACAAGTTACCTAAAACTTCAGCGGTAGCTTTCGCTGAACTACTGAAAAAAAGGAAGTGACAGAATTCACTGCTTCCTCTATAGAGTTAAAAAGCTTGTTGATTTGATATTACCTACCGCAGAGACCTAGCACGCCACTAAATTTTACAGCCACTCCCCTTCAAAAACACAACAATTGTATTTTTATATATATTTCAAACATTGATGTTCCAAGTTGTTAAAATCACTCAGTTAAGGTTTTTTTGGCATTACATTGTGTAAAATTATGGTCTACAGCAGTATAATAGATGTACAAAGCCTCAATAACACATCTTCTGAAAGAGCCTGTAAAAAACAGGCTTAACATTTGATGCCAGAATTAAAGGAACAGTTAACACCAACCCTGATCAGTAGCAAGGTGAACAACTTTGCATTCCTCTCCATTTAGCCTCAGTAATATAGAGTAGTGCAATATACACACTAGTTAAGTTACATCATTTCTGTAAGATAGGTAAAAATAACCTAAATAATCATATCACTGGTTTGTGTCAAGACAATCGCTTTCTGCTCTTTCACTGCTTTGCCTTCCTCTCTTACTCAGCATAGCGCTCCTTAACTCAGACTGAACACATCAGCATTTACTACCCAGAACAAGCAATCTCTCACTGCTGATCCTAGGAATTACATTTAATTGCAGCTCTTGGCAGGGGTTAGAGTTCCATGAGAGCTTCCTATGACCTAGAAAGTAGCAGTCTTTTTCTTTTTTCCTTAAGATCCCCATACTGTCGCTTATTCTAACAGCTTCACGGTTATTCATATAGAGCATCACAAGGATTCTTGTGACTAAACATGAAACCTAAGTGGTTAAGCTATATTCCTGATTGCCTTGCATGGCCAAATATGGCCCTTAGCAGGCACTGCAGTTTTACTCATCATTTCTAAACAGCAAGTCCCACCGCTCTTCTGAGATTTAGGCTTTTGTCCACTGGCATGGCAACTTCCTTGAAAGCAAAACTGGGTGCTATGGTTACTGAAAAAGTACAGGAGTGCACTCACGAAATGATATTTTCTCCTAGCAAACATCAGTGATAACTTAATCCATTTTACTTTGCATCGTATTGATGTAAGACAAGTACAAGTTGGTTTTTATTTCAGCAGGTACTACCTTCCAACTACGGACGTGGTGAGAAAGGTGAGGAACTTCTAAAAGCGCTGGGATATGCTTGAGTGGAAGTCTTCAAACAACCTCCTCGGCCTTGTGTGACAAAGGAGCACTAACAGTAACGCATGCTCTGTGAAAACACCTCATGCTTGGCGCTTGCCTCCCTGCCTTGCTTCCAAAGTGCCCAAAAAGCTTGGTCTGCTGGGCCTATCAGCTTCTGCTGAATCTATAAGGGACCGGATAAGCACATGCCAGCGAATGTGAGGGGCAGAATGGGGAGATAGAAAAAACCTACTGCTGATTTTGCTGATTTTGTATTGTACCATCCAATTAACGACAAAAAAGTTTGCAGGAAATGTGACAGCATTAAAGCATACCTTGTCCTGGACTCCAGGCATCCTTATGATTAAATAAAACGTACAGAGGAAAAAGAGTGCATATATATATATATATTTACGCATATGGTGATACACAGGAAGATGATATAGCATCAGCTTAAGGCTATGGTATGACGTTATAAACACAATGCTGCTCCATACTGTTACAGATGTTTTCCTTGTCATTGACAATGATGACAGAAAGGATTATTTTAACAGTGAAATGTGTCTAGATGAAATCTCCATAAGAAATGTAGAAATACTTCAGCCTTGTATTTGGCTAGGTAAGGACCAGTTACACAGCAATAAGCCGCAAGTTTGAGCGAGAGAAAGGAGAAGAGCAGTGTTCATTTAGATCCTGCCTTTTAATTGGATTATGCATTTTGTCTGACGATTTAAGACAAAAGACAGAACAGTCCCTGAACAAGGAGCCAGGACTGCTCTCCCTGTCGTTCCAGGGGAACCTCTCTCTCACTGGGTTAGCAGCAGTTCTTTCACTAGCTTATTCTCTCCATAGCAACCAACTGTTATGTTATCTGCATGATTTAACACGAAGGATAAGGAGCATCTCATATGATACTAGACTACAGATTAGCAGTTAAAGAAGATTCTTGCAAAGCAGCAACTGCAGATTTGAAGATTGCCTATTTTTTGGATGAGTGATCTAAAGGCTAAGCTATTATTCAGAATAGACTATACTTATCTTCCTCCTATCATATTTTTGACTAACAGTAGCCACACCTGCTGTA